ATATAGCACTTAGGGATCTTTATAGCACTTAGGGATCCCTTTAAAGAAGGCGTTTTTAACAAATATTTTAACAAAATTAAATTAAAAAAGTTTGTTTAATTAAAAGCGCTTGTTAAAAAAATGTTTAACATAAAACACTCAAAGTATATTAAATTAAATTGTTTTAGACTGCAAAGTTGGAACAACAGTAAGTGGTTTATACATTAATATTATTGCTTATGTAGACTAAAATCCTACAAAGTCCTACTCTTTCTTGTTTACAAGAATTGGTTAATAAAAACTAAACACTGAAAAAACTGAGTTTATTATATCCGGTAAAAGTTCTATTACAAAAAATGTAATTCAAATAAATGGCTCTTCCATACACCTCAACAATAAACTGAAACATCTCAGATTCCCATGGCTTAATCAAAATCATACACAGCAAATGTGTATGATTTTGATATATCATCTCATATGAAAGAGCATAAAAAAAAAATGTTTGATGTATATTATTTTTTCTAAAACGAAATAATGAACAAACACTAACTAATTTAATTTTCAAAAAAACGCTTTTCTTATATTAAAAAAAATGCATCTTGTCCAAAGTTTATTGACTCTAATGCCTCAAAAAACTAACGTTTGTACATCAAATTAAACTAAGTAGACAAAATGTCATTATTGCAAACTTATTAGTTGGTAATTAAATTTAAAAGTAAAGTTGTTTTATTTTCAACTAACACATAATTACTTACAAGAATAAGTTTTGTAACATTTTGTGAAAATATATTTGTATATTAAAATTTTTTTTATAATTTTAATTTATATATTTGTGTTATAAGGGCAATTCCACGGCTAAAAATGAATAGAAGTCAAATTTTAAACTCTTTTTAGTCAGTTAAAAACAAATGAATATTGACTTAGACACATGAAAGTTTATTTAAAATATTTCCTTAGTAGAAAAATAAATTTGTTTCAGTCATTTTTATGGTTTCAAAAGTGACAGTTACTCTCATTTTTGCTTGATAAAAAAAATAATTATTGTAAAATGTTTTAGTTAAATTAACATTATAAAGTTTTTCATTTAAATGGTTGATGTTTTTATTCAATTTTTTTATTTCAAGTTTTCCAATAAAAGATGAAACAAAAAAATTTGGTTTAATAAATCGAATTATACTTCATGTTTAAAATAAGGCTTAAAAACGTTAAAGTAAAAAAATTGCTGGTTTTTATTAGCATTTTTATACTGTTTGAAAAAAAAAACTAGTAAAAAAGAATTAACTAATAATATATTAATTAATAATTATTAGAATTAATAATAATAACAATTAATTCTTTTTTATTGGTTTTTTTTTTCAAACAGTATAAAAATGCAAATAAAAGTCAGTAATTTTTTTGCTCTAACGTTTTTAAGCCTTGTTTTAAACATGAAGTTTTGATAAAAAAAAGGATAAAAACCAACTTTTCGCTTTAAAGACCTTGTAAAAATTTTCCATTTAGAGATTTAAAGTAATTTAAATTCAAAAATGTTTTACGTTGAAAGAAAATCTCCGCGCGAAAGAGCAAATCATCTATTCATCTATCTATTCAGAATAATAAATTTTGTGTGACGTTCTTTATGATAAAAACATTACTTTTAAGAATTGCTAAAAAAAATACAAAGCTAGAAAAAAAGTAATTAATCAACTAAAAAAAAAACAAGTCGCAAAAAGATTTTTTCAAGAAAAAACTAATCACAAAAGTGTGTGTAGAAATCACGATCGCGATATGCTTAATACGAGCCCTGTAAGACTTTTTTATAAGTTCTAAACTATTTAAAACTATTACTTAATAACTTTTTTTTAACGACGTCTTTCAACCGAATTCTATTAAACTGTTTTTGCAAAACTAATTAAAAAAACTTGATTAAAACTAAACTATTTAATCATGACTTTTTTTTTACTTGAAAATCAAAGTAGATATTCAAAAGTTGTTGTGACGTACTAACGTGATTTTTAACGACTAACAATCGAGTTTTAATGGTAAAAAAAAAAAAAATTATATGGAGTTGTTTTTTAGTGATTTCAGCACTTGCTTTTTGTTAGCATGCATTTATTATTACAATTTAGTGAAAAAGAAAAAAAACTTAAATATTTTATGCTCTTTTATATGAGATCATATGTTAGGAGCACTTAGGGATCCCTTTAAATAATAAAATAAAATTTAAATATACAAATTAAGTTTTGTTATAAGCTCTATAACAGTAAACATTCCATTGTTATATTAAAAATAATTTAAATATAATGATACATTTTATTTTAAAGAATAACTTCAAAAAAAACTTTTATCTTTTACATGTTTGAAAGCTATTTTATCTTTAAATTATTGTTCATTCAAAGTTAAATTACAAAAAACTTTTCTTTCTGTCTTTAAAAAGAGCAAGTGCCCAATAAAAATACAAAGATGTTAAAAACGCTAGTTTCAATGTATTTTTAAAAAACTTTTTAAAAAGTTGCTAATGTTGCAATTTTTATTCAATCAAAATTTTATTATATAAAACGTGACACTAATAAAAATACCAAAACTACCAATTTGGCCTACAACAAAATGGAAAAAAAGAGAGTTTCGACTAAAAAAAAAGTTAGTCTTTCTTGGTAGGCATTAATTTTTTTCTTTTAATTAAAAAATTTAGCCCAAACATTTTTTTTCTTTTTTTATCATTTTCTTTAATATGATCACAACATGTCTTGGAGGCTTGGGATCCCTTTAATTAGGCAAATTTTTCTTAAAGGGATCCCCAACTGACAAGAGTTGTGTTCATATTAAAGAATATGTTTAAAAAAAACATTTGGGCTAAATTTTTTTGATTTGCAAATTCATCAAACAAAGATGAATTTACTGATGCTGTCAATTCCAAAAATTTTACTTGACAAGAACGTTTATCTTCTTTCAGAGTTAAACCCTCTATTACTTCTTGCAGTAACAGTTTTTTAATAGAAGTGTTCCAACGAGAAGTTAGCATTTATTTTCTTAAATATTCTAAAAAAATACAATACAGATATACATCAAAAACTATTTTTTATATTTATATACATTTGTTTCAAAAGCATAGTGTAAATTTATAGCTGGCATTTTTTATTGATAGCGAAAATATTAGTGCAAAAAATAATGTGGAAATCAAAACCGCATTTTGTCATGACGAAAAAATTTGCTTTAAGCGATTTTTTTCATCTTGTGGGAAAACAGCCTTTATTTATCATTAATTTGCACGCACTTTGTAAATGCATAAAATATTGATTTGAATTAATAAAAAAATGAATAAATTCAATAAGTGTGTTTGATATATCTAATAATTGATTGACTAGAATAAAAGTTATGTGAAAATAAATCTCTTCTATAATTTAATAAAAGATTATTTGAATAAAAAAATTATTTTAAAATAAAACTCCCTTATTTGACATACACCTCTTAAATTAGACGTTCATCAATAAATAAAGACATAAACGTCAACGCTTATTAAAAAAAAGATTTGCCACGCCTTGATAGAGCTCATGTGTCTAATTATTTGCTTGAAACTTTGATGTTTATTAAATATAACAAATATTTATAAGTTATATAGTGAAAGTTAATGCTTTTGACATATAGTTAATGCTAGCAACTAATATTAACATATTTTTAATTAAAGGATTCTAATATTAGTTGTTGGCATTAAGCACAAAAATACATAAATATAAAGAATTAAAAGTTTTAATTGCTTATTTTTATTTTTGTTTTTAGCTTTCATATTATCTCCAAAAATATTTTTTTACTGACTTTATCAAATTGTGCACGTAACCTTGATGTATAATTGCACATGGTTTTATTAACACAGCACTTGTAACACGCAGTTTTGCTAATAATGTATAGGCCTTGACATTAAAACTCTTGTCCCTGGCCTTGGTCTTGTAAATCTTAGCCAAGTAATCTAGAAATGACAAAGCAAAATGTTTGCTTTGTCATTTTTATTTTAATTACTTTATTTAAAATATAAAACATTTCTTTTGTCACTTTTTATTGTAATTATTTTATTTAGTATTTAAACAAAAGGTTTGTTTTGCTGTTTTTATCTTTATTTTTATTCTTTATCTCTACAAATCTCAAATCCGTCCTTGTATAGAATACTGTTGCCATATCTGAGATGAATCTTCCAATGATACCCTTTCTCTTTTAGACAAGGTACAAAAACGCATTGTAAAAATAGTCGGACCTGCACTTGCAGCCAACCTCTAACCATTATTACATCGTCATAATGTTGCTTCTCTTTCTCTTATCTATAAATACTATAATGGGTACTGCTCATTACGGGGAATAAGAATTTAATTTGTATAAACAAAAGAGGGATGAGCAGCACTTATTTTTGTTGGAATTGATAGTAATAAGAGTTTATTCTCAGTTCTTAGTCTTAGTTTCACTTTATCTTAAGTAAGCTCCCACATACCTATGAAAACATAAAACATGGTCTGAAAAGTTTTTTATGACTGATGTTCCACATTTCTGGAACATTTCTGTTGACATCATCCGCGTGCATCTTATGCTGCATTTATATATGTATACATATGTGTGTGTTATATATATATATATATATATATATATAATATATATATATATATATTATATATATATATATATATATATATATATATATATATATATATATATTATATATATATATATATTAATATATATAAATTATGTTAGTGTATTCTACAAATAGAGTGCTCAATGTTCTTAAAGAACAGAGCAATAATAATTTTATATATTATTATTGCTCTGTTCTTTGTTATTTATATATATATATATATATATATATATATATATATATATATATATATATATATATATATACACATATACAGGTAAACAGGGGAGTTGGGGTAGATATATTTAAAAAAAATATTTTAGATTAACATATTTGACAGTAGTTGCATAATTTTCAATATTAAAGGGATCCCTAACTGCTGAGACAAGTTTTGTTCATATTAAAGGAGAACTTTTCAGGCTAA